TTAATATTCAAAATGGCTGTGTTGTGTCTGCATGTCAGAGCAGACGGGCAGAAACTAGGATGAGGCAATATCTGTTCGAATGTCAGCTGTAGGCAGGTAAGATGCATTATGTATTTTACTTACAGTGTCATTAGTATTACGATAGAATATAATTGTTTTCATAACACATTACAATATACAAAATACTGTATTATATTACTTAAAATTGTGCTTATTATTAGAGCTGAATTGCTGCAGTAATTAAACTGTCAGTCAAAATCTCAGGACTTATGTATGCTGTAATAAGAGGACAACTTGGTTTTTCAAGATTAGCCTGCAAGTCAGTTAGTGTTAGGAACTGTAATATTCTGTGGTACTGTCCTCAAATTTTAGTGAAAGAATGATATTTTTCTGTAATTGATTCAAAAGTCAAACTACGATATTTACTTCATCATTTTCAATGAGCATTTCTTTTCTGCATGCACATAATATGTGTAAGTGTGTGTCTGTAAAGCCCTTATAATGTCTGCCGTACCATCACTGAGATTTTGTCACTAAATGTTAAGTAGTGTGATACACATATTTCCACAATCATTGACCAAAAGTGGAACATTTCTGAGTGTTTATGGCAGACAGAGAACTTATCATATCATGAATTCATGTGGTCAGTATTTCAGTATGAGTTTGTTTTTCACCTTTCCGACAATGATGAACAAAATGGAGGATACTGTGTCTGGTGTCTTGTGGAAGAAGAATAACTGATTAAATATAAAATCCTCACATAGTTATTAACTGTATTTGTACAAACAATCTATTTTCTGCTGCTATGCTACGTGTCCCCAAGGCAGAGTTACACTGAAGATCAAATTAATGTTTCCATATACATGTCAAGGATTGTTGTAGTGCCCTTCTGCCTGCATTAGGGGTGGTGGGGTAGCTTGGTGTTTTTTTTAAGGGGGATGCCATCATGGTGACGACCAGGGTTTAATTCCCCACATGGGTACAATGTGTGAAGCGGATTTCTGGTGCCCCTTCGTGGTATTGCTGGAATATTGCTGAAAGTGACGTAAAACCCAACTCACTCAATCTTTGTGCATTAAAGCATGCTAAGTTTAATAGTTAATTACAACACTTCTGTTCTAATAAAAATAAAACTACAGATTGCACTTTTTGCCTATTATTTACACAAATAAACTGCTCCTTCACTTTTGCCAAAATGGTGTATTGACAGTTTCTTAAGAGGTGCTATGTCAACTAAATTACTTTTTTAACAAGTTTTGACAATGAGCTGAAGATGCAAGCCTGTTCCTGCATATTGTTGTTGGTGTTATTTTTGCAGAAATTAAAGCCTTCTGAATCAGATATAATCATTGGGCTTCATTGATAAATGCAAGCAAAAGGCTGATTTTAAAAATCGTGTACAGATCGATCTTGTGAAAAGTTTCCTCACCATGACAAACATTTAAAACGAAACTGCTTACAGCCAACCATGTATTTTTTCGCCTGAAAGTAGATAAAATGTCATTCATTACCGGGAACATTTCAACAGAGGGGAAAAAGGCTGTAAAGACACTCGGTCTGTTTACAAACCTGCTATCTCATCACATCGGGAAAGGTTGTATCACCTGTCATTCGGCTTTAGTGAATGGATGTCTAAGTCTAGTGACGTCACCTTTCATCGTAGCAAAGTGAAGCTCCACACAATTTGAGTGTGTGGTTATTGTAGAAGCATCTTGCATCATTTGTTGGTACAGTGGTCATGTTTTATGGAGTTTCTTGTACAGGCAGACATTATTAACGCCAAGTGACGGACATATATTTTTGGATGTTTCATTTTAGATGTGATAGCTGCGTGATGGATGTTGGAGATCTGAAAGTAGATCATTCAGTGCATGGTCGGAAAACAAGTCACAATAAGAATTAATGGAGCCCCATCTAAGCACTTATATTCAGGTTTAGCAGGTGTCCTCTAATCGGGGGACATTAGGGTAGCCTAGTGGTTAAAGTGTCCTCTCGTCACACTGAAGACCCAGGTTTGATTCTCCACATGGGTACAATGTGTGAAGCCCATTTCTGGTGTCTCCTGCTGTGATATTGCTGGAATATTGCTAAATCTATACCTGCTCACTCCCTCTAATCTGATTCAAACATCATTAATTTCTTTGATATTATTTTCAGACCATGATTTAATAGCATCTAATATTATTTTTATTAAATGTATCCTGCAAATGTTTCATAACCTTTGGATTGTATATTTGTAGTTTAATCTTTTGTGGACGTGTTGAACCTGCACCCATTTTAACAGGATGTTCGTTGGCAAAAGTTACTCTGTTCATACCATGTGACATGTGTCTGTGTGTGAAGTAGGTGTATTGTGACGCCCCTACTATGTGACTTCAAGCATTCATTATCCCCCGCCGCGCGAAGCGGGGGATATAGTATTAGGCTCCGTCCGTCCGTCCATCCGTACGAATTGGAATATCTTAAGAACTGTTGACTGGATTCTTTTCATATTTGGTACCTAGGTTCATCACAGTAAAAGAAGTGTCCCAGTCCTTTCCAAAGGTTTGGTTGCCTTGACCTTCATTTCAAGGTCACGAGGGGACTTTAACGTTTTACCCTTGTCAGCGAGATATCTCAAGAACCGTTCAATGGCTTTTCTTCATATTCAACACCAAGCTTTATCTAGGGAAGGCGCAGAGCCCAGTCGATTTTGGTGAACTTCACATAATTTTAAAGGTCATGGTGACACTTTGAAGATTTCAACATGTTAAACTGCGTGTTAAGATTGTCAGCGAGATATCTCAAGAACAGTTCACTGGATTTTCTCCATAGACTTTCAAGACTTCCCTTGAATATTTTTCAATAAGCAATTTCTTTATTACTATCTTTGCATATTTCATACACTTAGACATTCATGTCAAGGTCAAAGTGAGTCTTGAAAATATTTGAACAACTACAGAGCAAGATATCAAGAGAGGTTGACTGGTTTATGTTTTTATTGACATTTAACTTCATCTTAAATTACGATCTTCACTTTCATTACTTTTTAAGTTTGATTTGATAATTTGCGGCGGGGGATTATGTCACCTTAGTGACAATGCTTGTTGAATAACCATAAAATCATGCAATATGTTCAAGTAAGTCTCGTACAGAAGCTAAAATTCCAAGCAAATCTACCATACTCTGGTATGGCTGTTTTTCTTCAGTTTCTGAAAATGATGTGATATTCTGTGATATGTTAAAATCTGTATTAACCTGTCTTGCTGAGAGTTGGTATTCTGTGTTTGCATGGGTCATGTGAAACTGTGACATTGTATCTGAGTGGGCTCATTTCATGCTCATGCCATGGGAACATCTTCCTTATATTTACAAGTGTTTGTCTTTTCTCAGAACATGACTGTATAGAACAGTACATACAATACCTATAGGACTTGTACCAGTTTCTAAACCACACATCCCTTTATTGTGTTGATATCTGGAGTGATGAAGAACGCTACAGGGGTGCTTTAGAGCAGCTGGTCCTCTGGCCCGTGACTGGCTAAAATTGTAGAGGGCCAGTTATTTGAAATCAGTGGCCCAGTTGATTGATATTACACAGTGACAAATGAGTCAGGAAAAATGTGACTCTCACAGCGTAGTTTCATGAACTCTGTTCTTATTGCCACACTTTAATGGTCTTCAGTGTGTTATTGTAGCATCATAATCTTTTTGAGCATGTTAATGATTATAATATTAGTTGGGATTCTGCAGATAACCACTCAGGCAAGGAAAATATTGTTGCCATTAGTTACAGATAAGCTGGGCAGGACAGTGTTTTATCTTAATGGTAGCAATTACATTGTAATTCATGCATCTTATTTCCAAAACAACGCTGCACCAGTCAAATTTGTTTTGTCAGATAACATTGGCTAATTGTCATTAATTGACCATTTATATTTTTCATATTTATACATACAGTATTTATCTATTTGTGGCACACTTGGCTTTTGTAGTCCAATGTGATGTAGTGGTGATGTGTGTAGAATGGGTATTCCATTTTGATGTAGTTATGTCATGTGGTACTTGAGGTTCTCCAGCCTTCTGATATTGCTTGATACCTTCCTTTAAATTATCATTTCACTGTGCTTTTTAATGTATAGTTATCATGATTTGATGAACATCTATAATCTTACAGGTGGTCAAAGGTGGTGAAACTGATCACTTATGATAATAATCGCCCTCCTACATGCAAGATCTTATAACACCCTACACTCCAGCGCGGTCTCTCAGATCTCAAGACAAAAGTCTTCTCAGTGTCCCAAAATACAAGTTGCAAACTTTTGGCAGCAGATCTTTCAGCGTTCACGCAGCTTCCCTCTGGAACTCACTACCTCTCCATGTCAAGTCATCTCCTTCCATCTCCATCTTTAAATCAAGACTCAAAACATTCTTGTTCAACCACAACTAAATCTTATAACACTTCTTCCTGTATATAGTGTACATATTTACTGTTGCGCAAAGAGCATGCCCTTGAGGTGTGGAGTTACTACTGCGCTCTACAAATGTCCATATTATTATTATTATTATTAATAATAATTATAATATTTTGCCTTATTTATCATGCAATAATCATCAAGAATGATATGAAGATGTCAGTGGTTGAAACAAAGGAATCTAGGGTCTTTAGGTTCTTCTATGGTATATTAATCGAGGGACCCCATAAATCTTAAACTGTTTTCATTATATGGGTAAAAGCAAGGACAACATGACTAATATGATAAATATCAAACACTGCAGATGTACATGCATTTAGAATAAAAACTATCTTTCTACACAATGTTACAAAGTTTCAATGCTGTTGAAAATTCATGGCATGCAGCATGTACACAAAGTGTTACGGGAAATTAAACTCTCATACAGCCACAAACGCTATACACAGTTCTGCAATGAATGGAGGTAAGGTTATAGACGCCGATCAAGCCTGGTGCGCTTGAAGGCAGTTCCCCAGGTAAATCGTCAGCCCCAGTCCAACACTCACTGCTTAGCTTGATAGCGATAAAGCCAGCGGACCACTCATCCTTACCAACTAAAATATGTGACAATACCGCGTACTGAAGGGATACACAGAGCGTGTGTAACATCGCTAGATACACATAGATTTCACCCCAGTGGAGTGGATTTTACTCCATGGAGAACACGCCGGTTATGTTTGTACGTTAAGGAATTGTACTTGTACGGAAGTCATGGAAGTGGTGATACTACACGTCTCATGATATGTCAAAATGGGATTTACATTGCAGTCCAGGTATGTTTTTCTCGCTTGTGGAGGGGAGTTTAATGTGTGACAGACTTTGTGGGTATTGATCGTAGTGGATGTCAGGTGTGGAGTTTGTCGAGATGTAGTTAGATGTGTTGTTGGTTACGCAGTTGGTTGATGTGACTGTCCATCTTTCCAATGACTGATAGAGACACTGTGGAGAGTCAGTGTGGATTGGAATCTATTGTCAGGAAGGTAATATGCTGAGGATCTCAAATCCAGTTTCACTGAGAATAATTTGGGTTATTTGCTATGTTTATAAGGATTAAGGATTGGTAAGATTAATTTTGATAAAAGAATGTATTTCCTCGCAATTTAGTTTTCATATATGTTCATTAATTTCAGTATACTACTCAGAATGAGTTAAAGAACTCATAGATGAAATATAGTGATGTTAAAAAATGGCTGCTTTTACTACATGAGAGTTGTATATTTGATGAGTTTAAGGACACTGTGAAAATATCCCAAAGTATTAAAAATCTGTAAAATTTATGACAATAGGGATTTATAGCTACAGTTAATTTTAGAATATCTTTATGTATAACACCTTACAGTTTTGAATGATGATATACAATGCAAACAAGAGGTGCATGTTGACATGTTTATTTGAGGTAGGGTTCACTGCAGTTGTTGACATACTCGTGTCACTTGTGAAATATGGAGGAGGATTAAGATAAGAGGGAATCTTACAAGCAGATCACAGGGTCATGTGTGTGAGGTGTGAGATGTTGGTGCTGGGAGGAAGAGGGCTTAATCTTGAAACTTAGAAACACAGGTGGGCACACAGGCCTGATATGGTTTGGTACTGAACAACTTAGGTTGCTGGACTCAGGCTTATCCCATGGTTTGCAGGCTCTGCTTTAGTGCTGTCACTGATTAGGTTTTGTAGACATCCTCTGTGGGTCAGTGGATAGAGTGTCTGCCCAGAAAGCAGTAGTACAGTGTTTCGATCTCAGGTGCTCGATACTGAAAGACATAACTTATTATCTTACCTCACACATAAATGTCGCTTTCTGATTGGCTGAGCGTTCTTCTATTACTTTCAGTGTACACCACTTACAAGCGAGTAACATTTCAATGTACCCCGCTGTCAATGGCAACTCATTTGGTACTTCGTGGTAGTAATTCTTTATCTCGAATTACATTGAATCACGTATGATGTACGGAAATTCCCGATGTTTTGCGAATGCAAATCGATGGAAGGGAGATAACTCTAAATCTGTTTTTCTTGTCACCAAAATCTAGCAATGACTACAAAAAGATTTGTACCCGTGCTTCAAACAATTCAAAATTAACATTAAGGTGTTCGGTAAGATAAATACATTGTTCACTGGTCCCTTGGGGCCCATGGGTTGATGTATAATCGATGTTTGTTTATGTTCCCCTCGCTCAGGGAACATAACAAACATCAAGGGTACATTAACCCATGTCCCCCTCGTGACCAGTGAACAACTTATATTGTTATCCTGCCTGAATTTTGAGGATAAAACAAGGACAGGTCAGCTGAGTGTCAGTACACAATGATTGAGTGAGTGAGTGAGTTTAGTTTTACGCCACTTTTAGCAATATTCCAGCAATATCATGGCGGGGGACACCAGAAATGGGCTTCACACGATGTGCCCATATTTGGAATCTAACCCGGGTTTTTCGTCGTGATGAGGAAGCGCTTTAACCACAAGGTTAAAATTGTGTGGTTCTTTTAATAATATTTGAGCAATATTGAGCACCAGAAATGGGCTTCACACATTTACCCACGTGTGGAAACACACCCTGATCTTAAGCATTATGGTATCCGTATTTAACTGTGGCAAAGGGATCTACAGAGATAGCACTATAAAACTGGCATTGGTCCAGGTTAGTACAAAGCTACGCACCCACCCACCCACGCATGCAGACACACACACGCACGCACACTCGCACACAACCATGCATGCACTGTGCTATATTTATTGCAGTAATCTTGAATGCAAAGTTAAACCCCATTTCAGCTGACCACATGAATGTTTTATCAACACATTCATATTTCTTCAGACTGAACTCTGATACTTAGGATTTTGTGATTTCATAGTTAGAATGGAGAGTTGCATCCCTCAGTCGTGTCAGGAACTGAAGATAATTATTTGTATTTTGTTTATCTGCTCCATACACAGACACATGATGAACATCCTCAAAGTGGCAACAGCCTGTGGTCTTTATTTCCACATCAAGCTGACACAGTGTGATATGGGGAAATACTGTTCTAAGTAGTGTAAAACCCTCTCACATTCAGATCTTCTGGTTTTTAGACAGTTAAACAGACAACCCCCTAGCCATACTGTCACCTTCTTGCTTGAAGCAATAATCAAGATAAACTGTTATCGCCTGGATACTACAAGTGATTGAACACGGTAAAGATTTGTCCGACACTGACAACATCTGCCACGGAAACCTCGTATCTTTTACCTTGAGAGAGGCCAGGGTGTCTGATGACATCAGAGTGAATTGCAAGTCTTTCTCAACTGGACCTAATCTCATGGGGAAAAAACGTGAAGTACCGGCCAGTTCTAGTGCTCCAAGGTGATGGAGCTATGCTACATTATCGATGGCTCCGGTTTCAAGGATCTAATGGCCCTGAGCAAATATGACGAATTAGCACTTAACATTTCATTTGAAAAAACAATGTTTTTTTGCATATGTAATCATTGCTTCTTGAAATGTCATGTTTGTCAAAAAAATGGATTGTTTATTTGAGGATGGAAATGTAGGTCATCCTGTTGCGGAGAAAGTATTTCAATAATTTCCTGTTAATTCTTATTCTCGTTAGTTGTAGTTTCATTGAAGTATAAATTTATGAATTTCAGGTTAGTCGTCCTATGCCATTGCAAAGTTAGTGTCAAGTTTTGTGTTGTGTTGGTAATATTGATCAGAAATATGACTGATATGCTTATGTAGAATGTTCTAATGGAAGTGTTAAGATCCTTTTCATATTCATGAGAAATCTCTGCGAAAAGCAGAGTCAGTTTACAATTCCGACTATATCATAAGCATGTGTGTTTATGAATCACTATCAGATTATGAGGATAATGGGTGTTCCCGTAAAGGTGAGCATATCCTGCCACAGCAGTGGAACCTATTACAGTCATATGCAAAGGTTGTCATTTGTTCACCTGAAAAAATCACAGAAACATATGGTTCCCGTTAAATTAGGGAATTGCATCACATTATTTCCATTTAGCGACTGATTTTGAAGAAGTCGGTCAATATTTAATGTAGTGTACATCTGTGCTAGGAGCTGTACGTCCCGTATGCACTTCACACAATATGTTGGTTGTGCATGTTCTGCATTGTAATGCCATCGTTGGAGCCTGGTCTGAACGTTGATGCTGTTGTCAGGAGAGTCTGACTTGTTTACAATGATGAGGAGGTCGTTGCAGCCACATCTGCACGTGTGTTACAACTGCAACCTGTTTCATCTCAACGTATCCACACTTACATGTGCAAGATCAGAATGTTACATTGGGAAATACCAGACATGAAATTCTGCAGTGTATGTGCATAAAAAAATGGAAGCAGGCACAACAAATTTTGTGTAGATGTCCAGGGATTGGGAAAGGCAGGGGCCATGGGCCATTTCGCACACAGGAATAAAAAACGGCCCAATAAAATTTTGAAGTTTACTATTGATACAAGGGCAGTGGCCCATTCTAAATTCAGAAAATGGCTAATAATCCTGAAAATGGCCCATTGTGAAAGTTCTCTATCCCAATCCCTGGATGTCTAGCAAAAAATGCATAAGTTGGTAATGATTTAAGAAAATATCCCATGCACAGTTCAAGCCTTATTGATCGTCTAGTTCAGTTTAATTCTAAGCCTAAGTTAAGTAGACATTTAAAGCCTAAGTTAAGTTGACATTTAACTTCATCTAAGTTAAGTTGACATTTAACTTCATCTTAAACTTTCATTACTTTATAAGTTTGATTTGATAATTTGCGGCGGGGGATTATGTCACCTTAGTGACAATGCTTGTTACATTTCTTTCACATCCCATGGTTTTACCTGGGACCCATATAATTGAAGGCCTTTTGTCCCCTAAATAAATACCTTTGGTTTGCCTCTGTTTCTGCCTTTGAGCTGACTTGTGCTAAATATTTGGTCTTCAGCAACCCATGCTTGTCATAAGCTGCAACTAACAGGATCGGGTGATCAGACTTGGTTGACACATGTCATTGTAACCCAATTTCATGGATCGATGCTCATGATGTTGATCACTGAATTGTCTGGTCCAGACTCGATTATTTACAGACCACCGCCATATACCTAAAATATTGCTGAGTGCAGCCTTAAACAACAAACTCAGCTAATCAAGGTATAAAAACGATTCGAAAGTAAACAAAATGTCTAATGTCTTTTCAAGTTACAATTCAACTGAATTTCGGAAATGAAAAAGACGTGTCAAAATGCCACTGGTATTGGAAGGGCAGCCAATTTCCTTCTCTAAATATGTTTAGATGTTTAGACTCACCATGTTGGGCTAGGAGGACCTGACATTTGACTCAGAAACAATAAACTGTTTGACCGGTCCATACAAAGAATGTCACATCCTGTTGTTGTGAGATTAGACCAGTTGCCCGAGATGTAGCACACTGTCGAAAAGGTTATCCTAGCCACTTACAATTACATAGTTATGATTGTGTGTGTGTATTTTACAAATATTTATAGAACCTATTTATTGACTATCTCACCTAGTTTTGATTTTCTCTTTTCAATATGTTTTGACTGTTATGGGGTGTTTTCTTTTCTTTTGAAATACAAAAATACTTGCTTGTATTTATCATCAGCTTTAGGTGTTGTATGTAGAATATTTTTAAGTCAAACAGTTTTAGCTTGCGTCAATCTTACTGAATGCCAAAAAGGATAGTGAAGTATTCATGTCAGCGAACGGAGGTTTCCGAACCTGAAAGGGGCACAGGTGGCTATGCTGTCTGGAGCTGAAATTCATTCTGCAGAGT